GAGGATCGTTGAGGCTGCGTACTTTAAGGCTGCAGACCCTGAATTGGGATACAGCCATACTGTCCTCCCATTTGCTAAAGTGACATCAGGAAGCACAGCCCTGCACAGAGATGAGACTGTGCATCCTCTCATCTTTGCAATAAGCAATAGCAAAGTGTGATGACGCGCGGGTGACTTCTTTCGTCTTTTTCACATGCTGGTACTTGCATAACTTTTAATCGGTCCATTGTGATGAGGCTACACGGTTACTTCGGATTGTTGTGATGCCTTAAAGGATCACTTGATTTTGTTTTCAAGGGTACTTTTAATGAAAGTATGTTTTAAAGCGCAAGCAGCTGAAAAGACCTTGTTATTTTATCTTCCATGTTGTGTTATCTGGTTGGATGAAATTTTCAATTTTAATAAAAACCCTGTATTTAACACACATATACACACATATACATTATACATATACATATGTAAAATGTCAATCATATATATTTCACCTCTGTAATGTTCTGGATATTTATAATTGAGCTTAAACTGGAACCACATAATTTCCTTTGGGATTATTAAGGTGTTCTGATTCTGATACGCACTTGCTGGCACAACTCACAGCTAATGAATTAGTAACATTACTGGATGTAAAAAGAGCCTCGTGGAGAAGATAAGCCATTCACTTCTCTTTGAAAAATTGCATGTGCAACTGGGTAAACTATTTGAGATTAACAACGCCCAGCATAAAGTTGCAAAGAATTTGGAGATCTCATCATCTGCAGTACATAAAATAATTAAAAGATTCAGAGGATCTGGAGGAGATCTCTGACCACATGGGACAAGGACAAAAACCTGTTTTGAATGATCTTTGAGGCTGTAGATTATTTAAAAATATACAATTGTTTAGTGGAAATCTCTTTATGGCATAGGCCCACACTTTATAGCTAAACTACTCTGCCAAAAATAACCCAAAATCTACATAAATATAGTGCCTAACTTGGACCCAAGTTTATGGGTTTATTTATTCAGAGATAATCTGTGATGAAAAGGAAAAATCTTGTCTGCGGTCTTAGAAATCAGGTTTTGATGTTGTTTAGTGCACCACTTAGTTTGAACCACTCAGTCGTTTTTTTGTTTTTTTTTTTAAAAGAAGAAGTCTTTCTTATTTCAACAATATAATACTAAAATACACTCTGCATGCATTATAGCAGTATGAATCTGTAGCAAGGTGTTAAGCTGGTCTGCCCAAAGTGCCCACACAAGTGACCTACTGAATATATTGAGTATATTATGACACAAAAACTCCTATAAAGGAGGTGCGAAACCTTTTATTTGCCTTCATAACTGCAGCAATTTCCCCCCTGAGTTCACACATGCTTACAGCCTGTTGTTAAGAGGTGATGCAACACCATGGTAACAGGTGCCTGTCAAGTTTCTTCTTTCTTTTTTTTCTCTTTTTTTGTTGCAGTCCATGCCATCAAATTAAATCTGAGCACATATTTAGTTAAATGCCCGCATCCTGTTTTTATCCAGTGTTGTAACTTTTCTTTTTCCTAAATTAGGTTTTAGAAACTTTACCATATTCATTACCATTGCTTGACATTTGAAATGCTCTTCACATTTAATGAGAGCAGCAGACGGCCTTCAGCCCATATAAAGATTCCCCTTCTGCTTTAAGTAAATATATGCAAGAAGGAATGCGTCGCTTTACTAAACCCTCACATTCTTGACTAAACCTACTCAGTATTTGCTAGCACAGTAGCCAATGATGTTATATTCACATAATATAAATAGTAGCCTCATCATTTTGCAGAAAAAAATCCAAATGCATCCACCCATTCAGTGGAACGTGTTGTAACAGCTGTGATATACATCTGTTTTATCGCTGTTTAATATGGTGTAGCCGTTCCATGTCTGAACCTTTGATGCAGTTCTTTTGTTGATGTTTTGACTGCAGGAGTCCACCTGGATTTACCTGTTTTCCTTCATTGCGTTGCCCGCAATGCTACAGCTGTGTGTGCTGCCCTTCCTCCCCGAGAGTCCTCGCTACCTGCTGATGGAGAGGAGGGATGAGGCTGGAGCGGAAAAAGGTATTCCATAAACAACACTTAAGAACATCTGCAAAATGCAGTCCGGCTGACACAAGAGGCTTTGGTGTCTCATTGTGGTTATTATATTTGAAAACTCTGCTGTTGCTCTTTACAACAACTACCACACATTACCACTCTTTTACAGTTAGAAAAAATGTCTTAAGAAGTAAGACTGTCACTGTCACTCAGGTGACTGAAGTATATCTGCAGGGACCAGACAGAGTTTTTTAGTGAACACTACACAATTTTCACAAGTGAAAGTTTTGCTTTATATAAATACTTCAGCTTTTAATACTGGCCAAGGTTTTAAGAGGACCAAATCAGAGAGTGAATTCTTGAATTCTTCACTTTTAAATGTAAAAATATATTCTTAAATACAGCTTTCAAATACTAAATTAAAGACTCAGAGATGGCTTCACATCTTTATTTATGATTGTAAAGCAGTTTCAAAAAAGAAGTGCATTGGTAATGTGAGTTAAATAAACTGTGACTCTCAGTGGTTTTAATTCTACACATAATTGGTTATTATTATTATTTTTTCACAGCAGACATTTTGACATGCTACATTTGGAATTTATTGCAGCCATTATTAATATAACTGTTTTTTCTTATATAATAAGTGATAAAGCTGGGTGTGTGAAAAGTCTTTTAGTTACCTTTTTTTAACTGACTTACTGCTACTTTTGCAACCTAAATCATATCCAAGTAGTTTATTTAAAATCAGCTCTTATTTTTCCCGTTGCTGGAAGCACTGGTAGCTGATTGCTTTTACTTTTTAATGTAGAAAATCAATGTAAAGACTGACTTTAGTTTGAAACTGGTAAAAAATGTGTTTGCTATGCTGATGACAGAAAGAAACTACCAAACATATACAGGCCTTTATGTAAAATACAATGAGAGCAAAGAACCATAAAATCTAAAATCTGTTTTAATATTCAGTCATATATTTCTATACCATTTCCAAAAAGGTTGGGATGCTGTGTAAAATGGAAATAGAAACAGAATGAAATGCAAATTTCATAAACCAATATTTTATTTTTTCATGTTTTAACAGTGAGAGCTTGTATTTCACAAAAAATATTAGCAGACACGGGAGAAAGGAAAAGAAGTGTAATAAAAACAAGCCTTGTATTAGGCTGAATACCAAAAATAAGGCAAGGTGAAACAAGGGAGGAACTAAACTAACCTAAACTGGGAAAAAAATCCTAGGATCAACTATAAAAACAATGACACGAGACAATATCATGAAACTAAACAGGAACATGCAAAACGTAAACAAGAAATAATCAAAACATGAGCATGAACCTGAACAGTGTTAAGAAAAACTGTAACTTGCTGTGACTTGACGCAAAGTAAACAGATGAACCGACACTGAACAGATGAAGACAGAGGACTTAAATACACAGAAGGGTAATGATGGAAGTGAAAACACCTGGGGAAACACAGCTGACACGAATGAACATGACACCACAGGGGAAGTAAAACTAAACACACTGAAAATGGAAACATCAGTCTCTTCAAAGTAAAACAGGAAACATAATTGAACGTAGAGATGAGAACACAAGCTTGACAATAGAACATGGAAACACGCACACACAACTGACTGGGGAGACACAGAACACAAGGAGAGACACGTGGGAACAGATAAGGGAGACGAAAGCAGGGGTATAACTAAGCGTTAAACATAGAGGACAGGACAGACTTACACAAAGGACAAGACTGAAGAGCTGTGAATTTCATGGCCTCAGGCAGCACTGCATTAAGAACAGGCATGATTCTGTGATGGGCTCAGAAATACTTCCAGGAACCAATGTCTGTAACCACAGTTCACCATGTCATCTACAATAGCAGGGTAAAGCTCTATCAGGAAGAACAAAGCCACATTATGAACATGATCCTGTCATGTGATGAGGAACAAGGATCCAAACACAGACTCAGAGGGCAGGAAAGGTGTCAAATAAAGTGCTCCTTTAATAATTGAAGTGAGTCCAGTATAACAGGGCGTGTATACAGGCAGTCTGACAAGAGGGAAATTGAAACTGGGACTACATATGCACACAAAGACACTGAGGTTTAATCAAGGGACGAGGAAACAGGAGAGGAACAAGGAAGAACTGAAACTAATTAAGCCCAGTGATTCAAAGGAAGTAAAACAAAATACAAACCACAGGCAACTGGGAATTACAAAATAAAATAGGTAAGTAACTCAACTGGAAAACTTGTAACACAAATAGACAGGGACTTAACAAGAAAACACTAAGGAACCTAGAGTGATACATACACTAAAATCACGGCACAGTACACTGAACCGAAAACAGCATAACAACTCTCACAGCAATCAAAATGAAAGAATAACAGAAACAACAAAACTCAACCCCCAATAGTAATAAAAACTGAAGGGCAAGACGATAGGACAACAATGAGAGGCAAATAAAAACAAATCTTAACAACCAGAAAACTCAAAATAACCAAACTCCCACACCATGACGGATACCCTGTCTTCTCTGGGCCAAAGCTCATTTAAATTGGATTGAGGCAAAGTGTAAAACTGTTCTGTGTTTAAACACATCAAAATTTTAAATTGGTTTTGGAAAACATGAACACCACACCTCTGGACTACGGAGGAGAAAAATTGTCCAAGAGTTCTTGATTGAGTAATCCAGTTCCTTAGTTACTCAATTAAAATTCTGGTTTTAAATTTTACAAATCTTTTTTTTGATACCTCATAAATCATTGATTGGAGGTATAAATGTCTTGTACAATCTTTTTTTTAATATTCTGTTTCAAATGCACTGATTCAGTGCCTTTAAACCACAGTAAGCTGCAGCTGCCAGAGAGTCAGAAAGATACTTAAAATCACAGCACATCTTCATCTTTCTGACCTCAAACAAAGGAAAGAAATGAGGAGATGGTCTTTTGCATATTTTTTGGCTCTTATGACACAATAGGGGAAATAAAAAGTTGCTCTTGAATGTTATGTCCCAGTTAAGAGTTTTATCCATTAAAACTCTGTTTTGAAACTGCGTAGACCCTTAACCTTTAATTTGCAGCTACATTTTCACAGAAATGTTTCTTTTGAAACAAATGCAAATGAAAATTATTCATTACTTTTTAATCATGTCTTTTTAGTATTCTGTTTTTGAAAATGTTTTCAAATCACCTATTTTTACTTTTTTGGTATTCGATTGCACAGCTGCGAAAGGCAGTAAATATCAGAAAAACACGGCAGTCAATCAGCTGCTTTTTATGAAGCATGAGAAATACATACATTATTTATTGCACCAATCTTTGCACAGTTGTGTTACATTTCCCCTTAGACCTTACTCAAACAATAATTTATTCTCACTAGCCACAACCTTTTCCAACAATTTGTTTTGTTGTACCTTACCTATACATTGGCCATAGTAAAAGGTTACAGGTGCAAAATTATAAAAAGTTTTCATAACTATTACAAATATTTCAAGCTTCAAAAGAAGAATATTATATAAATGCTGTGACATGAAAAGGCACAGCATGGATTAAAGGCATACGTAGCTCAAACTGCATGTGTTAATGAAGTATAAAGAAAAATGTAATTTCAAACAAAACTTTAATGAATTTGGTCTCTGGGGTGGTTTGAGCTGTTTCATGCCTGCGTCCATACATTATAGATTGGTAATCTCTGAAGGTTTGGTGGCTTACAGTTTATTCTTTGTAAAATTGAACATGATCTTTGATTCTTTTGAACATGTTGTGCATGAAGGTCTCAGAGGACAAAGCAGTATTTATGATGGTGGTGTCGCATGATAAAATTAATGATCAAAAATACAATTAAATGGAATAAACACACTCTGATTTTGTCTTTTGTTGCTGCTTCCTTTGTGTAATAAATTCCTACCTTGAGTATTTCCAACAAGTTAGAACCAAAGAAATGTATTTTTGTTGCTTTTATCTTACAAAAAAGACAAAAAGAGAGGTGAACAAGTCCAGAAACCAACTGCAGAAAAGCATGATGTTATAAATTTAAAGTTTCTAAATCTTTTATTTATATAATTCTGTCTTACTTTTTATTACAATTGGATTAAAACAATGTGCCTCCAGTGCTGTAGTGGTTAACACATTTGCTTGGCAAGGAAAGGGTTGCTGGTTTTAATCCCAGCTGGAGACACAAATCCTCTTTAGGGCTTTTTCAGGAAGGGCAGCTAGTGCATAACAACTAGTGCAAGCCCTACAGGCTGTCATCACCCCTTGTGGCAAGGGTGAAACTGGAAGCAGCTTTTTCATACTAACATTAAATAACTGATGAAGCGATGAATGGTTGGGTAAAGACTTCTTGCTTTCTTATTGTCTCTACAAGTGCCCATAAGACTTTAATTTAACACACAATGCTTTCCCCAACAAATGATCTGCTTAGTTACTGAGTGATATTACTAAAACTTACAATATCTGACTTTTTAGGGAAACTGATGGGCGTCGTAGACGAGTGTTGTTGTTTTTTTAGTGAAGTAAAATGCAACCAGTGCAATGCTTGCAGAACTTCTACTCACAGATAATTTACAATTTAAAGGTATCACAGAGAGGTGAGCTATGCATTGCTTCTTTTAAGCATTTTTGTAGGTCGCCTCATGGTTGAACAGTGGTTAGTACGGTTGCCTCACAGTAAGATCAGTTCCACCATCCAGCCAGGGTCTGTCGAGTATGCATGTTCTCTCCAGGTACTCTGGGTTCCTCCCAAAGTCTAAAGATGATGATTCTAAATGGTTCCCTGTCTCTATGTGTTAGCCCTGTGACAGAGTTTTGACCTGTCCAGGGTGTAACTTGCCACTTGCCCTAAGACAGCTGGGAGAGGCTCCAGCTCCCCTGTGACCCTGAATCGGATAAGTGGAAGAGAATGGATGTTGACAACAGGCAGAGACACAGAATACAGCAGCATCAACCTTTAAATTCTGGCAGCTGTATCCTAACACACACAACATTTTACTTCACCTTGAGACTAACTTTAAATATTCTGTTTCACACTTGTCTCCATGACGATTTTATTGCCAGTGTAAAACTGCAGAACCGACAAGCCCATCGTGGTTCTTTAAAGCTCCTTTGTTGCACCACATCCCTCCACCTTGTGGCACTGTGAGTCTTTGGTCACAACAGTGACACAGAGTGGAGCCCTGCAGTTCTCAGTAACACAGGATGGCTGCATGGGGACAGTGACACTGTTGAACAACTCACCTTACTCCAACAGATATCGATATCAAGTCACACCTACTGGGATAGCAGCGAGTGGTGTTTAATGCTCTATCTATATTAGAATTACATGCAGTTAGTTTGATAACACTGATAATTTCAGCTTGTTGGTTCTTTTCTCTCCCTTTATAAACTTTGTTTCAGAGATCACACTATTGTAGTTAATAGATTTTAGATTTTGGGCTTCCATGTAAACTGCTGGGAATATCTTTTTATATTTAGCCGTACATTGGGCTGTCGATAGGTGAGTTAAGTAACTATATTATGTATGCTATGTTTTAGTATCATAATTTCTCACTGGAGTTTCATATATCTGTATTCTGCACTGATATAACACAACTTGCACTTTTGGGGAAATAATGACCTCTCTCTTTTTCCCTCTCACCCTTTTCTCTTTATTATATCAGTATCAAAATCCTAACTGGCCTTCTTTTGCTTGATTATGTGGTTTAGCACAGATACACGTATTTTACTTTAAATGATTCCCTTTTCCTGCCTCAGAAACCATGGCCCAGCCTTTACTGTGACACTGGCCAAATCCATCTTGTGTGGGCAGCGTCTGCACTGCGTGTCATTTCATTTCCACATCCTAATGACCTGCTTTTAGTCCTTGACTGTAGAGATTTGCTCCCGTGGACTGTGTCCTAAACCCGTGCCTAGTTGACCTGCCCACAACTTCAGGGATTAACCTTCAGAACAGAAGGGTTTAAAGTGAGAAAAGAGTCTTTCCATCCACTTATTATTTGCCATCTATTGCTTCCAAGAAGGCACGAGTTCAAACAACCTTCAAATGGCCGAGCTAAAAATAACAGAAAACGGTTAGCAGTCGTCTCGCCTTGAATAAAAAAGGTTTGGTGATTTCTGCTTCATTCTGACACAAAGAAAAGACATTAAACTTACTTAAATGTAAATAATCTGTCTTGTATTGGGTCGATATTATATAACAAATGCATAAACTTGTTCGGCAGTACGTAGGACATCGACATCTAGTCACAGATGATATGTGTTTCTCAAATCTATTTGTGGCAATTAAAAAGAAAATCTTGCCTATTTTACATTCAGCGGAGGTCAAAATAATGTGATAGATACTTAAATCACTACAGCCAACAAACAAAGAGGTCTGAGAGTCATCTGCATTGCAGCAGAGTGTATTATTATGCTGATGAATTATGTATCCCAGAAAAAGCATTTAAACAGGGAAAATGTGGCCTGTAGATGTAACAAATCTTTAGATTTTAAACGAGCGAAATATGTTTTCCATCTTGAATGCATTTTCTTCATGCTGTTATCCAAGTCAGTTTTTCAAATATTATATTTTGTATTATATTTTTTTCACAATATATAAATATAACAGGGACCAATCATTGAAAAATGACATACGGGACTCTGTCCTGTAATGTAACAGCTCCATAGGTTTGTGTTGTTGTGGCCAGTTTTAATTATTTTAGCTTCCAAATCTAATTACTGCCACACTCAAGAGACCCGTCCACCATAGTTATGGGGAAGACGCTGGTCACAGGAGCTAAAAGGAATGGCAGGAAATTGAAAATGATTTGTTGTCACCATGGCTGTATAATTTAATAGCAAAGAAAGGCAAATGAGTTTATGTAAACCTGCTTGTACCTTCAGCAAAAAGAGAACCACATATTTTTTAACATAGTTATTCTTCTGACCGACTACCTAACCTATGATTTTCAATTGATTCAAGCCATAGAAATGTGACACAACTATCATTCTCTATGGGAAGAATTGAAGTTGTCACATGAGTCAACAATAATTATTGTTGACTTTTAGAATTTTGTGGTGAAAAAATTCTAATTCTACTGTATTGTTTGACATTTAGGTTTATTAGGTATTATTACAAGTATGTGGAGATTCTAAATGCCACATATCTTGATACATGCTCAATCATCCAGGTACGTAAATCCCAAAAGGTTGATTCTGTTCATTTGGATGTAACGTTTTCAATGGGAGACACGTTTCATCTTTTGTCACCTTGTAAACAGTACATTTGCATAATAACTGAAACCAGCCCACTGGATGAACACTGGGCTGTGAGGTCAGTTCTCTGTACTGTTTATAAGGTTGGGGAAACCTGCAGTCAGCTGAGACTGAAGAAGTCAATTGGATGAATGACGAAACGTTTCTCCCATTCAAAACGCTACGTCCAGATGAACAGAATCAACCTTTTTGGGTAAATACCACATAGTTTGCATCCAAATAATGTTACATTTGACCTTTGACCTTACATTTGCATTTCACATCTGTCTTTTCTTTCAAAATGTTATATCTTTGAAGAAAGCATTGTCGAGTGAAAGAAAATGAGCTGTCTAGATACAGAAATACCGTAGTATAATATAATAAATCTCATATAATAGGCTAAAGTTATTCATGTCCTGTTATCTATGAATCGCCTCTGTCAGCGTGCCCCAGGGTGGCTGTGGCTACAATGTAGCTTGCCATCACCAGTGCGTGAATATGTGTGTGAATGGGTGCATGACTGGATATGTAAAGCGCTTTGGGGTCCTTAGGGACTAGTAAAAAGCGCTATATAAATACAGGCCATTTACCATTTACCAATCAATACCTATTACACATTACCTACTCCTACATAATGTTTACAAAATACAATGTGATTCCCTTTAAAGGTAAATACTACCCAGAGAAGGAGCTGCCTTGGAGGAGGTGTGCGCTCTCAAAGCTGTTTGTTGTTGTTAAGCCGTGTGACAGCTCACACTTCTACCTGCTCACATTATATTGGTAAAAAGAGCCAAAAGGCTGGACATAATGTCAGGGTTGAAATGCAGCCTGTTAATAACAAAAGTGTGGGGCTCAGTTTACTTAACTTTTAAGTACCGTTGATAAACCAATAGAAATTTTGCATTTTCAAAGTTTCACTGCTCCATTTACAGCAATATGTTCTCATTCGCCCGTGGAACAAATCGTTAGGTTCTTTGATCTCAGCATGATGGTTGTTATTGAGGGTTATGGCACTGTCGATATTTTTGACACTGCTGCGCTTGTATGTGTGAATGTTTGTGCGTAAGCCTTTCAGAGGTTTTTGGGAAAGAAGGATGTGTCCCAGGAGCTGGAAGAGGTCCACATGGAGGCTCGAGCTCAGGACAAACTACACACCGTCTCTGTGTTACAGCTGCTGAAGAGCCCAGCTGTTCGCTGGCAGCTCATAACTGTCATCATCACCATGGCCTGCTATCAGCTCTGTGGCCTCAATGCAGTAAGCTTTTGATTTAACTTACCTTTCTCAGGTTTTGAGTGGAATCAGCTCCCTTTATGCTATTTCACAGTGCATTTGACTGTATTTATAGATCATTTATTATTCATTTAAATAGATTCAGATGCACCAAATCAATAATGCAAGCTCTGTGTAAATATTTCATTATAAGGACCCCACCCCAACACCATTCTGAAAGCAAACAGTCAATATATCTTTAAAGATGATCTGGCACTCTGAGAGTTACACCTAGACCTTGTTAATAAGTTTGGAGCCCCAGGCAGGAAGGTGATAAGTGTTACCTCTTCTACTGGAGAGACTCCAACAGGAGAAATTGTCATTCTGCTCTATTCTGGCACTCTGGAGTACATTCCCAGTCGATTATGCTGTTTTCTGATTTTTCTGATTTTTCTGATTTCGGCTTGGGCTAGAGAATATTGAAGTAAACACTGATGACGAATTAAAGACAAAAGAAAAGGAACAGAAAACGCACGAGTAAAGTGTTCGACCACCAATTGCCGCATGAGAAAAAGGCTTCATGATTTCTATTTGAGGGATGGAACTGCTTTCTTTAAGTGACATACTGCCTCACTTGGGCTTTTGATCACATTGGAGAAAGTTCTGTTTAACGCATCAGTCCAAAAATGGGTCAGTGTCATCTTGGAAGAGATGACCCACCTATCAGGGTAGAATAAAAGACAATCAATCACAACTTTGTACTGATTTGCCCTACATTCCTAGCCCTCAAGGCGACAACGCGACCAAAGTGTACCAGTAAAATTTTGTTACCTTACCTTACCTTGTTATTTAACCATTATGTGTGTCTGGTTTGGTAACAACTCCACCACTTAACCCACTGAGGTCTGTGCCTGTGCTTTCACGAGTGTGATCCTTGTATGTTTTATCACTTTTGAAGTCAAGTATTTTTTTTCTTTTTTAAATCAAGTTTTAAATCTGTCCTTTGCTTAATTACATAGTTCTTGAACTGCATTTTGTTATAAAAGTTTAAAGAAAAGGTTCAAGTGTAAATACAGAAAAAAACAAGAGCGCTTGTGCACCGTTAACCTAATTAAAGTGACTCTAGGTTTATGTACAGCGCTGTGCAGGAGACCCAGTGGGTGTGGAGAAGTCGCTGTGAGTCACTATATTTTGTGCACTTTGTTCAGACTAAGATGCTTAGCCATCCTTCACCTGCTGTGCTGCACTGCACTCGAGTGTCAATGATTGGTATTCCTCTGAGCTGGCTTTATAAATGCCAAGAATAGTCCTTCACCTGGAGGAAAGTTGCTGCTAATTATGGCAGACTGAGAAAAACTTACTTTAAAATTGACTTCAGACTCCCAACTCTTGAGCGATTGTGGCTCAAGAGTTGGGAGTTCGCCTTGTAATCGGAAGGTTGCCGGTTCGAGCCCCAGCTTGGACAGTCTCGGTCGTTGTGTCCTTGGCCAAGACACTTCACCTGTTGCCTACTGGTGGTGGTCAGAGGGCCCGGTGGCGCCAATGTCTGGCAGCCTCGCCTCTGTCAGTGCGTCCCAGGGTGGCTGTGGCTACAATGTAGCTTGCCATCACCAGTGTGTGAATGTGTATGTGAATGGTAAATGGCCTGTATTTGTATAGCGCTTTACTAGTCCCTAAGGACCCAAAGCGCTTTACACATCCAGTCATCCACCCATTCACACACACATTCACACACAAATGCAAAAACACTGGCAGTTTTTAAAACTCTAGATTGTATTTTCTCTCTTTGCTTCCGTTTGTTCGCACTTATTCAGCCTTCTGTAAAACACGTTCAAATGTTTTAATGTCTTTCTTTGTGTTTTTAACAATATTAGTGCAGGTGTTAAGCTTGTTGCATTTGAATGTCAAAAATTAGGCAGGATTTCATTTGCTTTCATTTCAATCTCATCATTCTAAATGTGATGAGAATGTAGGCCAACTTTAGTGACATTGTTAAAATTTGTGTGTACGCTCTGAAGCGAACAGGATTGCTGAGTTTTGTGTAAAGATATATATAAATTAGTATGTTGTTGTTGTTGTGAAAACCAAGATCAATGGTACTTTTGAATTTTTTTTAGATCTGGTATTATACCAATGGGATTCTTCGTGAAGCAGGCTTTACTGAGAGCATACTTCCCTACATCACACTGAGCACAGGTGCCATAGAGACTCTGGCTGCCATCATCTCAGTAAGTATTTGATTTATTACTGTAAGTCAGCAACAGCTTTCAGGTTTACTGTCAACTACTAGGAGTTCAAAAATGAAAAACAATCACAGACAGGCAAAAAAAAAAGCTGAGTGGTCAATTTAACAACCAAAAAGAAGAAGAAATAACTCACATGGAAGAGAACAACAAAAGGTGCTGCAGAGAACAAAGAGAAAGTCCTGTTAAAAATGATAGAGAATCCAAAAAGAAACCAAAACTCTGGCAGCAATGACCTGGGACCTGAGGTTAGTCAACATACAAACTGAGGGAGGGCACGAGACTCTACGTACACACACAAGACTAATGAGGTGCAGGTGGAAACAATTAGGAAGAGCAGACAATTATAAAGACACACAAAGACAGGATGTGGAGACAGAAGATAAGATATTCTTGCAAACTGGAAAACCAAGAGTAATGAAAATTCAAACCCTTATCTAAGCCAGACACCATGACCCAGAAGCCCCCTCTGCTAATGAACAGTCACAAGGCACATTTTCTGTTTGATTGTATGCTTTGGTATGTTTGACAATTCTAGGTTTACACGGGTACGCGCTATGTGAGAGAAGTTTGCTTTTATTTTGTTAGCAGTGGATTGTAATTGCTTTTGTTGTAATTTACATTCCTGCACATGCATACACACTCTGACCGGCCACTTTTTTAGGTGCAGGATTCGTGTATTGTGCATTCAGAGATCCTGTACTGCACAGCTGGGCTGTGACCGGTGCTTGTTTGAGCTACAGTTGCTTTGCTGTCAGGTCACCACAGGCCAGGCATGCTCCTCTGACTTCTGGCATCAATAAGACATTTTTAACCAGAGAACTGAGGTGCACTGGATATTTTTCTCTTGGAAATTCTCAGTAGATCTGCAGCTTCTGTCTGGCACAAACAACCATACCACATTCCAAGTTACTTAAATCAGCAAGTCGATGTCTTGGTGCCATTGATACCATTTACATGGCTAAATGCAATGAGCTGCTGCCATGTGACTGGCTGATTAGGTATTATTGAGCAGTAAAACAGGTGTATGTTATAAAGTGTGTGTGTGTGTATTTGTGTAAAGTCAGTTCTATACAAGTGTATTGAACAACTACTAAATATTGTCATATTTATTGATTAAATATGACTCGTGATCTCCGTGGATGAGATCTGGGTAGTGTGAAGGGCAAAGACAAATATGCAGTAGTTGACAATCCTTTAACCCAATCAACCCAATCCTTTACTGTTACTATGTTAGCATATTCTAACATATTAGCAGCTCAGCTGTTTTTAGTATTACTTCCTCTGGCAGTAAATCACTTTCTAAATGATGGAGCAGGGAGCACTTTGTTTGGGAAACGGCTTAATGAAGTAGTTAGTTTATTGGAGCATCTCTCCTGGCAGCTTGTGGGCGGAGTTGTTAGTATTTGACATCATGTGATGATTTACTTGCAATAGTAACTTTGCATAATCACAGTTATGATCACATAAAGACATAAAACCCACTAATAAGACCATCTTACAGACATTCCACTGGAGACATTTTTCAGTCAGCAGCAAATGTTAGCGTAAAGCAGCATCAGTATACAGACATTATATTTTCCGGTTGTATGTCTGTCCCACACTGGAGGATTTACTAATTCGATTTTGGAGGTCAACAGTCAAAACCACAGACACTTGTCAAAAACTCTAAACTTCAAAAAACTATTACGGTAAAACGTCTCAGAAATGTCAAGTAGGATACAATTATATTTTATGTACGAATATTATTCACAACTTTGAGATACATATTTTCCAGAGAAGACAAAGCAGTGTTTGATGTATTGGACTTACGTTTGCCTCCTTGGTTCCCACGATAACTAACATAACTACTTGGATGAAAATCCTCTACAGTCAGTAACTGCCTGAAGTAAAAGGCTCTACCAGGTCTTTGATGCATCTCCCTTCAGTGTCTGCTTATTTGTGGCTCTCTCTTCTTTCACATTTGTCTTCATTAGCTGAAAATAATGCTCTATTGGGATGAGATCACTCTTTTGCAGTATGCTTTGGCTCATTTGCACTGAGAAGCATTATTGATAAGTTATGGAGCTTTTGAGATTTGTTTTGCTGTTTTTAGAAATAATGAGGTCATCATGCACTTCATTTGTCATCTTTGGTCTCTCAGACCTTTTTTATGATTCGTTCTTTTTAAGAACATACAGATTGTTGAATTAGCCACTCCTAGAGTTTTTGCTCTCTGATGGTTTATTTATTTTTTCAGCCAAATGATGGCCTCCCTCGCTTGCACTTTGCATCTTTTTGGACCTCATATTTAACGCGTTGAATCAACTTCTGATATGTCTGCTTCCATTGTCATGAAATCGGAAGGGAAAAGGTTTCACCTGGCCATGAAACTGCTTGTGCATCAGCCATCCTATTCATTTTAACCTTCTGAAAATGGTGACTTTGTATAAAAGCCAATATAACATTTAATGTAAACTTTTTCTAACCCTTGAATGAAAGCTGAAGGTCTGCACTTCAATCAGATCTTGTTTGTTTGATTTAAAATCCACTGTGATGGTGTGCAGGGGCAAAATTACAAAATGTGTCATTCTCCAACAGTTTAGGGACTGATCAGTAAAACTATTTTGCTGCAGTAGCAGTGATTCATGATGATGAAGGTACGCTATCCATCGAGATAGCGTAACCATGTGTTACCCAATTCACACACACAGCACAATGACAGGGTAAAAATATTTGTTTTTTTAATGACTGATACTAGAGCTGTATTACTGTCTCCTGAACAGTAGGAGCTGATCTACAGAGCAATGCTCTCAGCTTCCCAGTGCAGGGTCCTGTTCTCACCTATGATCAGTCAGTCTTCTGGCCAGTAACCAAAGGTTATAAAGTTGGCCCAAAATGAGTTTTCTTTTTGGGATCTGTGGACTCACTGACAGAGTAAGGAGCTTATACATAAAGATGGAGCTCACGACTGAACAGCTGCTACTTCACACTGAGTGGGAATGCTAATGTGGTATAGACACCGGACTAGGACACTACCTGAGTTTCCAAGGGAGGTATTCTTGGCATGCTGAACTGGGTGGAGACCACAAATCAGAACAAGTTTACATTATAGTGATTGTCTATCTTTTCTGGCATGGGAACACTCTGGGATCCCCAGGAATAGCTACAGGAAGTGGCCAAGGATTGGTCTAATTGCCGTTATCCTCCTGTTATTGAGATGCATTTGAAATGCCAAAAGAAATGAACTAAATGATCAATCAACTTTTAGTTGAATGAGCTCTTTGCCCAAAAAGGGCATTACATTTTTAGTTTAAACCAAATACTAATTGCAAAAATGCACTGGGGAATGCAGTATGTCATCTCTCCACATTTAATGTTGTGAGATTGTTAATGCCCTGCGTGGGCTGCTATCTATTTCTGTGATTCCTGTCAGCACATTAAAGATGATCTTTGATCTGCGGCAGTGAGGAGACCCCGCTGAGTGACTTAGCTGCCAGGTGACTGACTTCAAACACCAGCATGTACTCTTCAGATACCAGTTTTACCCCCAGCTCTGCAGTATCTCTTCATCAGGCGCTGCTAACTCACCTCCAGCTGCCTTTACTGAACACCACCCTTCTTATGTGGCTGACAATAATGATCCTCCGGCTGTTTTGCTGGCATGCACAACATAGTCGGATATTATCCAAATGAAACCAGCGTAAGTCAGATTTATGACTGTGTATTAATCCAATAAATAACTTGTCATGAGTTGTGACTTTTCGATAACGAATAACAGAATCCACAACTATCGTAGCTGACATGTCACTCATGCTGAAGCTCAACTGCACCACAGGCGATATGTTATGTTATAATCATAAACTGTACAAACCTTGCTCTTTAGAACTATTCCAGTTGGTACAGTGGTACAGTTATTAGTATCTAGAGGGTTCTGGGTTTGAACCCACTGACTGGCTGAGACCTTTCTGTCTGGAGTTTGCATGTTCTTCCTGTGCGTCTGTGGGTTCTGTCTGGACACACATTCATTTTGTGTCTCTAAATTGGCTGTAAATTTGTGTTAGCTCTGCCATAGACTAGTGACCTGTTCAGGGTGTTCTCTGCCTCTGGCCCTGTGACAGATGGTTTAGGCTCCTGCCCACCTGTGTGCAATTGCATTGGAATTGGATAAGTGGTTATGAAAATGGATGGATGGACAATACTTCAAGCACTATCAGGCAAATGTAAATATACAAGCCTTTATTTGTACTCTGTAATAAATATAAGTAGCTGATGGAGCAAACTCAAGAGCTTTGCAGACATGTTTTAATCGTTTGTTGGTGTTAAACATTGGTTGGATGTTCACAATAATTTGACATGTATTAAGAAAGATGAATTTCAATTTTGACTTTGAGTTTAAACTATTTATGATTTTTGAATTAAAGTCTACACCTTACCTTTTCTTCAATTTAGGTAGGAAACATTTTAAAGTTAGAATTAAATCCCTATATTTAACAATATATGCGTCGTAATATGAGTAATGAATGCACCTCGTGATGTAGCTCTGACTTTCATCCATTAACAAAGCTTTTCCTTTTCCATAAAGCTGCCCACACACAATTAATTTCTTATACAAAGAGTTTTACATATAAAAAGGCATGTGTTGCATGCCTCCAAATCCTGATCTTTGCTTGTAAACACTAAAAGATTAGTTCCAATTTGCTGTTAATGAGTTTTGGGAAGCCCAGGCATCAAGTGCACCCAGGAGAAATGTTCCTCATATTGCTTTATAGAAAAAAAATCAGATTTATTCAATGGTTTGTTAAACATCACAATACTGCATTCTGAATTGCTTTTACCCATACAGTACAATTCACTTTAAACAGGAAAGGATACAGAGGTTTAAAATGAAAATTAGCTATTTATCATGAATGGCATTCCATTTTTTGTATGCTGTGCTTGTATTGCATCTTTTGCAATCACCAGCTAAAGTTTGGGATGTTAAAAAAATTACAATAATGCACAGT